GAAAACATTAATTATCAAGCAGAAGACCAGCGATAGGCGAAAATGACGTATAAATTGGAAACAACTGATATTCGTGAATACCAGCGAAGAGATTACTGTCGGTCACAAAACTGACTTCATAAACTGTTGCAACATCAACCGATGGTAGCAAGTAGATTTTGATCTTTTTCAGTTTCTGATACCGGACTGAAGCGGCGTAAGCACCGTCTCCTTGCTTCTAGTGGCCTAGGAGACCATCTAAGCAGGCTACGGCTCCATGGTATATGAGCACCTGCGGTGCAAAGCCCACAAGTAATATGGAACGTGGCTTGCTTAAATGGTCCCCTAAGCCACTAGAAGCAAAGGGACTGCGCCTATGCCGCTTTGATCCGGTATCAAAAACGAAAAGGATTATATCTTTGCGGCGGTATCAATAACTTGCAGTGGTAGTAAACCCAAAAGATCGGGTTTTATTTTTCGGCATAGGTAGAATTTGTTTTAAACGCTTTATATGCAAACAGTGGACAACACCATGAATAGGCATAACATTCATGTATTATTAAAAACATGGATGGTACTCAAGCTCCTAGTTTGATGGTCAGGGACCATTTGCTACACGCTTAATTCATGAAGATTATAATGCGGCAATAATCTACGTTCAAGCATTAGTGCCTCATTATTTCCTTAGACTATATCTATGACGTGGTGAACAGTATGGCGTATAGTGATCTGTTCGCCTGTACACAAGTGCTATTCAACGATCTACCTCGGAAGAATGAAAGATTATTTGCACAATCAAGAAGTTTGAATTTAAGACCTTGACTGTGAGTTGGAAAGGGAGTAAAGGAACGATAGTCACCGTTGGAATGTCAATCTTCCTTCACTTTCATGACTGGTCCATTTTGATTACCTTCTTTTCATGAAGATGATTTCCTTTTCTACGCCATCAGTCACGAGTGCCTTACATTAAAGGCAGAGTCTACAGTCATGTGGGAGGCGTAGCGTGTAATCTGTGTATTCTGTGTTTCCTTTTCATAGAGTATTACTCATTTATCAACCCCAGATGGGAGAACGGCGATCGA